AGTAAGTCAGGAAAAGTTCTGGCTTCATATCTGATTGATTCAATAGCTCAGTGATGACACCAAGAACGGTTTCTTTTTTGTCTGCTCTGACATTCACAGTGTCATAAGGTGGCTGCCGGAAAAATTGGGGCTTCTTGCATCTTTATTCATATCTAGTGGGAGAGAAAACATCCAGAATTCCAAGTATGTCACCTAAGTCACGCACTTTCCCCTGGACAGAATGTTGAGATGTACTTAAACCAAATAGGGATCACTGTCATTGCACTTGCCATCAGGGTGGAGTTAGCTTTTCCTAAAGCCCGTAGTGGCAAGAGATGGCCAATAAGTGAATGAAAATCAGGAATTCTTAAAACAGGGAGAAGGGTAATGTTTGCTGGGCAAGCACTTGACGATATCCCTGAGAGCAGTGAAGGGTACCTGCTATGGTATTGATGGCTTTATAGAAGTTAGAATAAGAAAGGAAATTTTTTAGAATTTAGAGAAAGAAAATATGAGATTAATAGGAATTACAACTATCAATGGGACTAATTAGGAATTTGGAGGTTGACTTTTAGAAGATTGTTGTGCTTTAGATTTGAACTCAGAATTTGACATTAGAAAAAACATGTTAGGAAACAAAAAGAAATCAAGCACATAGCAGTATTGAAGATGAAAAAATTCTTCCTCAGTGTATCTTCAAATTTCAGAATCAAGTGGGATGAGAGACACTGTGGAAATGATTCAGGTGAAGCGTTCAGGTGATGCCATTCCAAGATATATCATTTTGGTATATTGATTATTTTGAGCTAAAGGCACTTGAAAAGCAGCAGGTACAAGAAGGGCACTTACATTACTTTTCTCCCTTGAAAGCAGAAGGTCCAACTCCCATGTGACAGCTGCCCTCCCTATACCAGGAGGAAAGATCAGTCTTATCACCAGAAACAGGAGTCAAACCTGAGAGAATTCTACATATGATGTTAGAAAACTTCTCTTCCTTGAATCTCCCCCATATATTTTTTTCCAGTTTCTCCTCCCTTCAACATAGTACATAAATACTTAGGTTTTTCCGCTTCTTGGGGCTTCATTTTCTTGTGGAGTCTTCTATGTACATGTAAAAATAAACTTGGTATATTTTTCTCTTGTCAATCTTTCTTAAGTCAAGTTTATTCCCAAGCCCAGCCAGAAACCCGAGAAGAGTAGTGGTAAAGTTTTGCTCCCCTACACAGGTGAGATTAGGTGAATTCACATGCATTCCTGGCAGGAATTTTGTTGATATTGGAATAGCAAGAAGTATTGAAATAGAGCCCAAAAGGATGTTGCAAAAATGGAAAGGGAGGCACGAAATCTGTGTCAGATTCCGAGAACCTCTTCTGGATGAATCTTTCAACCAGTATAGAAGATACAATATTCTTAACAGTAAGCTCAATCAGAGGGCTGTCCTGACCACCTGAATTGCTGATGCAGAGAAGAGATGCCACCAAGAGTGAGGGGCAGCTGACTGTGGGGCTGAAAAAATCATCTTTTTCTACAGTAGACAGGGAATCACCCAGTTTTTCTATTTTCAGGAAGTGAACTAAGCTCAATATTCTGTGGTAATATCATAAAACTAATACCATAAAACTAAGACAAAAAATGTAAGCAAAAAAAATTGGGCGCCATTGGACTTTAATATGGAAGTAAAAAATATGTTTTCCATGAAAAATCAAGAAATTACACTGGTGTGACAGTTTACACATCCTTACAACTTCAGTGAGCTAGTTCACCTTTCCCACTGCTTTTCTCCATAGTTTCCAATTGGTGACCTACTTTAAAGTTTCCTCCTCCACAAAGATGATTTTTTTTTATTACAGATATAAAGCCTTTCAATTTTGTACTGATTAATTTAGTGCTCTAGGATTTGATTAGCCAAGTTCCTGCAGACTTTATGATTCTTAGAGTTTTTTTTTTAATTGTTTAGGAAATATTTACTTCAGGATAGTTTTCTTTCAGGGACTTAGCATTATTCTTCTAAATGTCTATAACAATTTTTTTTTTTAAAGTAAATGTCCTTTTCCTCCCAGTGGCCAGATGGCTCTGGTGGAGCGGGCTGGCGCTCTCCGAAGTCCATAAAACCCCCACTCCTGGGCTCTTCATGTGCCTGGAGTCTACTGTCAGCCTTAACCCCCACTCCTGGATCCTCTGTGTGCCTGCGTTATTTCACAAAGAAGATAAAGAACGTTTTTCCTTGACATGTGTTTACCTTAACAGAACTAACCACCCAAAGAAATGGCTAATCTCATCATTCCCCAGGCAGACAGGCCTCACTACACATCCTGCCCTTCTTGGAGTCCTATTATTCAGAATAACCCCTGACAAGTCTTACCTCACTTGTAACCAATCAGGTACCTGTGCACAAGCTGATCACACAGCCTCCATCCCTTTGTGTTCATAGCCCCTTCCCCAATAAAAGACCCTGCACGTTCACTCCAGCGCTCACACAGGCACCTCTCATCTGTGTGGCCCACTGTTGCCTATAGCAGCATATCTATTAAACTTCTCCTTTGTTTCTTAAACTTTTCTTTGTCTCTGGTAAATTCTTTTACCACTCATGCACCAGCTTGCCATGTGCCTCAATAGCTATTATCAGAAAGGACACAAATAACAAATGTTGGCCAGGATGTAGAGTAAAGGGAACCCTCACACACTGTTGCTGGGAATGTAGATTGGTGCAGCCACTGTGGAAAACAGTATGAGGTTTCTCAAAAAACTAAAAGTATAACTACCATGTGACCCAGCACTTCCACTCCTGGGTATATATCTGAAAAAAACAAAAACATTAATTCAAAAAGATACATGCACCCCAGTATTCATAGCAGCATTATTTACAATTGCCAAGGTATGGAAGCAACCTAAATATCCATTAACAGATGAATGGATAAAGAAGTTGTGAGATACATATATGCATATGTGTATATATATGCAGTGAAATACTACTCATCCATAAAAAAGAAGTTTTGCCATTTGCAGCAACATGGATGGACTAGGAAGGCATTATGCTAAGTGAAATAAGTCATATAGGGAAAGACAAATAATGTATAATATCACTTATATGTGGAATCTGAGAAATACAACAAACTAGTGAATAAACCAAAAAAGAAGCAGACTTATAGAGAACAAACTAGTGGTCACCAGTGGAGAGAGGGAAGGGGGAAGGGGCAACATTGTGGTAGGGGATCAAGAGATACAAGCTATTAGATATAAAATAAGCTACAAGGATATATTGTACAATACAAGGAATATAGCCAATATTTTATAATAGCTATAAATGGAATATAACCTTTAAAAATTGTGAATTACTATACTGTAACCTGTAACACATAATACTGTACAGAAACTATACTTCAGTTAAAAAGAAACACCTGGATATGTGCAATGAAAGAAATAAAATGGAGAAGACCTCCAATAAATAAATAAAGATAAAAAGGTTAGAGACACACACCCAGCATGCACACATACATTGCACCAGTGTTGGTAATGCAACAGGGGTGTCTCATACAGTGCCCCTGATGGTGTAGACTGACAGTTTCCAGAACGCATACTAAAGAGTCATAAAAGTGTTCATAACTTTGACCCAGTAATTTCCTTTCAAAGTTATCTCTCTTAAAGAAGTAATCAATGACACACACAAAGACTGAACACATGTACAAGTCCTGTCACCACAGGACCAGACTTTATAATGAAAACCCAACAACGATGTCAAGGCCTAATAATAGGGGATTGGTTAAATGAAGGATAGTAGCACCAATGGAATATGAGTCACTGTTTTTAAAAAGTCATACGTTTGAAGAATATAATATAAAAATGGTAAAATAATCATCATATGATATTAAGCAAAAAAGGATGTACATGTAATTGAGTAAAACTCAATACACACAACAAAATCCCAGTTTTCTAAAATACTCATACATATGCAGAAAATAAAAGGCTGGAGGAAAATGGAAATATACTAAAATGTTAAGTGTACTAGTTTCTAGTGAATGGATTATATGCAGCTCCTTTTCTACTGAATAATCTCTATTTTCTAAGTTTCCTATGAAATTTTATTACTTTAGATTCAGAGAAAAAGAAATCCTATCAGTTAAGACCCATACCAAAAGCCACTATCCCTCTGAATTCTTTACTAATTTTCACCTCAGTAGTATGTCGTTTCACTCCTCTCTCCAGAACCCATGCCTCTGGCATCTCTATTCTGCCTTTTCTTACCTCCTCCCACCCAAAAGAATTTAAAGAGGAAATTATCTTGGGTCTTTTGAAATACATAGTCTACAATTTGAATGGGTCATTAATTGGCCTTCAAATCTCTCCTGCTTCTGCTTTTTATCCGTCATGATCAGCCCCAGAATCTCTAGAGAAGCCTGGCATTCCAGCTTGATAAACTGGAGGTTCCTTCAATGTCTTGGATCACCCTGTTTACAGGCAGTAGTGGAAGGAGAGATACAAAGAGAGGAGAGAGGAAGGGAGGAGTGCAGATCACTTACACATAGTTAACAATCAAGGGAAGGGGTGTAGGCATCTTGAGGTGTCTGTCAGGTCCTGTAAAACCATCACAGCACATCAAGGCCAGGGTTCAGACATGGTTCCAGATCTACTCCTATATGTAATTTTAACATCTGGTACCCTGAAACAACCCCCATCCTGACACTGCCAAGTCCAGGAATTCCACCGAAAACTTACACAGGAGAAAGAAGAGCCACTTCCTTTCCCTGTGGCTGGTGCTGTTATCCCACAGAGAGCATGGATGGGCTTAGCAAGGAGAGAAGAAACTATATGGGGAGACTGAGCCCCAAGTCTACAGGTACTATGCAGAGAATTTCACTGAGTCTCGATTTCGTCAACTGTAAAAAGAAGATGACACCTGCCTCACAGTGGTATAGAAGAAAAAGCTGACAAAACAAAAAGCACTGTACAGTTTTGAGTTTCAGGGAAAAACAAATGTCAAGAATTGCTTTATTGAAAAAGAAAGTTGAGGAAACAGAACATCATAATCATAAATTAATGTATTTTTAAAATTTTGAACACATTAAACTTTAGAAAAGATAAGTAAGTTTATTGTGGAATTATTTCTATCAAGTGTTGGGAATACTAAGTCATCATTTATTTGCAAGCTAATCATTATTAAAATCACTTATGAAACTCACCAAAATAATGTTTTACCAGCTTTCAAAGCAAATAAATCATAAAGGTACATATGTGTCAATAGGAACATAGCTTAGTTTATCTGCACTAGGAGAATCCTTACTCATTCAAGGAGTAGCTATCAAAGAACTAAAAATGCATTTGCTTTGAAAATATTTAGTAGTTTTACATCTAAGTAGAAATCTAATTTAGTAACTGTTAGTAACTTTACAACTAAGTAGTAATCTAACTAGATTAGTAATTAATGTAACACATCCATTCTTAAAGGAAAAACTCAAAGCTGAATAGTATTTTGATATTTTAAATGCTTTTCTTCCACAGTAGTCATTTATTCATTAATAAATTAAGTATTAAACAAATTAAATTATAATAATAAATAATTCAACAAATAATTACTGTGCGCCAGTTGAGTACCAGGCATGGTTATCAGGTATTAGTTTTTTCCTTTCAGAGGTACAGCATTATCGGTTGTGTGTTGTTAGATACTAAAAGGTATGCTTTCCTCCACCGTTGTGTTTTCTGTAGAATCACTGTCCCCTCAAACAACTGAAAAAGTAAATAATTTATAAATATCTTGAAAACTTATTAGTAAGTCCAGTTTAACAGTGAAGGGGTGAAAAACTCTATGTAATTATTGAAAAGAAAAAAATCTACACAGACACACTAATTGTGGCAGCTGTTCCCAAGATAGATTAGCATCAAAGATGCCACACAATCAGATAAAAGCTTACAGTTTTGCTGAGATTGTCCTCTTTTCCCTACCCAAGTGTTTGTGGAAGAAAGTCTGGAGCTGCTGCCAAGCATCCATCTGGGCTGTGGCATGAGCCCTGGGCTCCCCTCCCCAGATGACAGGACCACCCACCAAGGTGTGTAGGGAAGCAGGGCACATGGGGAAGTAAGGAGGCTCAATATATTGCCCCGCTCCTGGGTAACAGATGATCTGGGGCTTCTCCTTACCATGGGCCTGTAAGCGTTTAGAGGCCTCATTAGCAAAGAATTCACTCTTCCAGTTGTGGTCATCCTGACCTACCAGGAACAGGAAGGCGCTCTCAGCTCTTTCCAGAGGAATGAGGCTCTTCTGGTTAGGTCCTTCCAAAGGGCTGTTCAGGACCTCCAAAATGTCTGCAAAGCCATCTTTGGTCACCTTGATTCGCTTTGGGTTGAAACCCAAGGGAGGCAAGGTCTCACCTTTGTAGTGTAAGTTTCCCAGGGTATTGGCCACAGAACCATTGATTATGACAGGCGCGGTGATGCCCTTCAGGAACGAGGCCATGGAGAGGCAGAGTTCACCCCCCTTGGAAGTCCCAAGCAGCCTGACTCCTGGACTCTTTACCTGAGAAAAAGACAGAGGGAAAAGGAGAATGAGTCCAAGAGAAACAGTGCAGCGGGTGAGTAGACCCTGTTCTTGAGAGTCAGGAGGAACTGAGCCTGAATCTGGGCTTTCCTATTTACCAAGGTTTGCAGCCTTGGGATGCTGACTGTCCTTCCTCTCTACATTGCTTTCCACAATGTCTCCATCACCATTCTTGGAGACTTCAGCAGTCTCGTGGATGACTACTGAATACACTGGCCGTTCAGTTCCTTAACCTCCAAACCACCAATGATCTTTTTTTCTACCCCACCTCAGCCACACACTCCCACTGTCATAACCTAAACCGAGTCATCAATAAGGACATCATCTCCAAAATCTCAGGCCCAAGCATTCTACTCCCTAATCACCATCTCTCTTACTCTAGTTTAGCCATTCTAGTAGTCTCTTTGAGACTGACTACCACTTTCTCACTGTCAGTACCTCGCTCATGTTCTCCATTCCCACCTCATTCAGCTTAGATTTCAAGCTTCATCGTTAATTTTGCTCCCTTGCAAACACTCATAACTCCTTTAATACCTCTCTTGGTCATATTTGCCTGGAAAAATACTAACCTCAGTTAAATCCACCTACTATTCACTTCCTCCAGGTCTGCATTTGTGCAGATGAACACTGATGGAGAAAAAAATCCATGCTTGTGTGACAGGTCTTACTTTCATGTCATGACCATGAATTTCAAATAAGCATCTATATTGCTCCTCAGTCCTGCCACCCTTCACTGATGTTTGTTTTTCACTTCTCCAAAAGACCATTTCACACTGTCCCCTATCTCCAAAAGCCCATTTAACTCCCCTCCCTTTCACTTTCAGCCCTTCCTACTTCATGGAGAAAATGGAAGCTATTAGGTAGGAAGTCGTCCTCATTTTCCCCTGCAAAATCTACTTACTTCCACATGAGCTCAAGCTCTCCCCTTCCTCCTGTTTCCCAAGTGTCTTTATTCTTCTCAAAGGCCACCACTCTGTCTCTGCTTAGATCCCATCCACTCTCATTCTCAAGGACTTTGCTCCTGTAGTTACTTCCTCACTCTCTCTCCTTCATAACTCTCTTCTCTGCTGGCTCAGGCCCATCAGTACCGCACGCTTTATAATGTATTACATTTTAATAACAATTCCCCTTGACCTCACATCCACTCTGCTCTAGTTTCTACTCTCACAGCAAAACTTGTGGGGAAAGTTGTCTGTAGTTGTTCTCTTTCTGATCTTCATTGTCTGCTCAGTCCCCTCCAGGGTACTTGGCTTTGCCCTATTCCAGAAGGCCTGCTCTTGTCAATTACCAAACTCTTGTGTTATAAATGGCCTTTTGCTTGACCTCTCAAGAGCAGTCTTTTTTTTTTAACCTTATAGATTCTATGACAGCACTCTTGACTGATTTCAACCATTTATTCCCCTTAAAAGTACCAAGAATTAGATGATGATATTATCATCCCAATTTTTCAGAGGAGGAAACAGAGGCCCCAAGGTCATGGAACTAGTAATTGGTAAAATCAAAATTGAAATTTAACTTTTCTCTGTCAAATATTTTATGCTGGTTCCACTACACTCCATCACCTTTTCTGAGAGCTCCAAAGTTTTCATCCACTTTGAACTTTGAACTCTGTTTGACTGTAAAATAAGAGAGGTTAATCTTTGGATCCTCTGATATCCTGAGCCTAGAAACCTCAAAACATTTCCTAGGTTCTTGACCACCAGCTCCTTCCTTAAAACTTCATACTCTGCTCTTAGAGGGGCACAAAGAAGGGATGGTTGTTGAATACAAACATTTAAACTGGGGCCTTCTGGGGCCAGGGATCCCCTTCCCTTTCTGCCTACTTCCTATATCAAACCGAGGGTTCTCAATGTGTTTGGGCTTGTAATGAAATGCTGTAAAATACTGGAATTTAAAATTCCATAATTCCAACTAGGACATCTTTACCAGCAGGAAATCTTTTAAAGTAACATCTAACTGCATAGAAGCTGTCTGAAAGAAGTGACTATGAAAGGTAGCGTGTGTTGGGGACAGGGAGTGATGGTCATGAATTTGTCAAGTTGTGTGAAAATCAAGAGCATTTAAGAGGAGAGATGACATATAGAACACAAAACTTAGAGAAGTGCCAACCTGAGGGTGATTAAGCAGGTAGTTCACAGCTTCTTCAAAGTACTCCAGATGTAGGTTTTCCATGCCCATGGGGAGGTCTTCATAGTTACAATAAGCCAGAGCCATCACAGCAAAACCCTTCCCAGCCAGCAGACTAGCTCGATATTCCAGAAGGCCACCTCCAACTCCAAAAATGTCCACAATTCCAGGAAAGAGCCCAGGTTCTTAGGAAGAAACAAAACAAAAAACTGTTCTTGAAACTCTTTGCACTGGTGTCAGAGCCATTTATTGCCTCCTTGGTGATGTCATATTTTTCTGTTGACAATCAGAAATGCTGAAAGACTCTGGTCTTCAAAGATGCACAGTGTTTTGGACTAATTCTACATTCCCCTATACACCCAGAGCCTCAAAGTAATTTACAGACAATGAAAACAGCAAAGTCATTGCCCTCTACCCACTACCCTCAAAGTAAAACAGTGCCAAATGCTAGTGAGGATATGGAGCAACTGGATCTCTCATACATTGCAGGTGGTGTGAAAATTAATAAAGGAATTCTAACAATGGATTTCAGAGGACAGAAGGGGAACTCTCATGCGGTACCACACCACATCAGTTATAGGAAAAACTGTCAATTGCAGATCAAACAGAAGAATCATCAACAGGAAAGAATCATCAATCAGAGGACCGAATAAGAAAAGATGTACATTACATCCCTTCCAACAGATCGACTACCCCAGCAACTTAGCCAATGAGAAACCATCAACCCTGAACTCTGATTTTTCTACAATGGACTTTTATTCAAAACAACCCCTCCTGACTTCCTCCTTTCTGTCTATGAAATAACTTTCCTCTCGTTTTGTTGGGCTTCCCTATGGTTTTTGCCATGGCTTTCTGACCTGAATTGCAATTCTTTGCTATTCCAGAATTAACCTATTTTTGCTAGTAAAATAACTGCTTAATTTTTCAGGTCACTATTACTTGGTGATCAGAAGTGGGACCCAGGGAAGACCCCCAACAACTCCCAGGCTGCTGAGGAAACAGGAGCCAGTACTCAGAGAGCCCAATGAACTCACTGCCTTCTAGCGGACCCTAGAGTTTGAGAGTAAGTCTGTCCTGGATTTTAAGCTCCATTCTGTGCATTTTGAACTCTCCAGCTTTATTCAGAATCTGTTTAAAGGCTTTGACCTTTCTGAGAATACTCCTTTGGCTTTTGGGCTGATTCCTTTAGGAACTGGGCTATGCCTGTTGGGACTGTGCTGTTTAGGATTTTTTCTTTTGCTCTAGAGAAACACATTAAGAAATAGTATCCCCATCATCAAAATGCTTTGAAGATGCCCCCTTTCTGTGATCCTAGCTGATTTTGTATTTGAAACCTTGGTCTCTCCTCATGTGCATTTCTAACTAAATGGATCGACTTAATCAAAAGTAATTTAGAACACCAGTCAACATTATGGGGAACTTTGGAACTCCCCAAACTTAACTTTCCCTAAAACTGAATTGGATGCCTATTTTGATTGGCCATTTAAGGTTTCCAAACATTATCAGGAATTTAGAAATTACCTCTATAAAATACAGTTTCTAAATTAACTAAGTCAAACAACATAAAGTCTTCTGAGGCCCCTCACCCTCTCCCTTCTATGCCAGACAGGTATTCAAACTTCCCAACCTGGTTGCTTAGACTTCTGTCAGTTAGTACACCTGCTTGTTGGTGAGAGTCAAGCCGAACACTGGATGAAGCTTACCTGATGGGAACATTCTGAACAGATTTAGGAAAACAAAGCCCTAACTTTTGGAAAAATGCTAGAATGCTTGCTGAAAACCTCTACTGAGCAATTACAGTAGCTTTTCCTAGACATGTTGACTGGAACAAAATTCAGTCTTGCACAAAAAAATCTGATGAACCTGTTCATGACTATAATTGATTTCAGATTGTTTTCAAAGAACATTCTGTCTTCCTTCAGATGTTGAATCCACTCAGGTAGTCTTTAACTTTATTAATGTGCTGAGCCAGGATCTTCCTCTTACAGTTAAAAGAACCAGGGTGGAATAGGAAACTTTGTCCACTCCAGATTAAGATAATTTGACAAATCAGCTCGTTTGCACCCCAGATGAGTCAACTAAAAGAAGCACCACTAGAATTCTTAATTTTCAACTTGGGCAACTGAAGGTCACTAAACAGAGCTAAAAACCTCCTAGTTCCCCTATTACCGCAAAGAGCCAGGACATTGAAAAAAATGTATTTACAGATTTTAGCTCTCTGGGTGCCTTCAGCCCTTAGCCAGCCTTTCCAAAGAGGGGGCTCCCAGGAACTACAGAGGCTCTTCCCAATTCTCCCTCGTGATTGTCTCAGAGAAACAGTTCTCCAGATTGGTGATAAATCTCTCTTCCTTACTGACACACCAGAGATACTCTCATGCACAAATCCCACTTCTATAAAGCAGCCCTGCTTTGGAGTACTGAAACAGTTCAAATAGTGGGGCTCTCTAGTGAATCTCAAGAAGTTCCTGTCTCTGAATCTATCCCCTTTTGTTGAGGCTTTTGAGGGATATGTACCCTTTTCTCCTTAGTTTCTTCACCCTATTCATTTACTAGACCAAGACTTCTTAGAAAAGTATCATGTTAGAATTTCTGTCTCCTAGAAGGGAGAAATAATTCTGGAATTTCACAGTGGCAATCAGAATAGCCAACCAAGTGAATTAAATGACACCTTTTATTGGCTCCATTTCTGACAGCACTATAGCTGAACCTGGGGGACACTAATCAATTGTCCCTTTTGGATCAGCCACCATCTTCTTTATGGGCAAAATCTTCAACTGATGAGGGCCGAATCCACAGTGCATCTCCCATCAAGTGTGAAACATATCCTTCGAAACCTCTCCTGAGAATTAATCAGTACCTTAGAAATAAAGAAGTTTTTCAAGGCATCAAGTCCATAATAGAGGATTACAAGGCTCAAGGCCTCATTATCCCCTGTTAGTCCCTGGAATACTCTTATTTAGTCTGTGAGAAAACCCAATGGCGGAGGCAGAAGGTTTGTCCAGGACTTACGAGCAATAAACAATATTTTTATCCTCCACACCTTGTTGTTCCTAACACCCACACACTACTGACATCCATTCCCAATGAAAGCAAGTTTTTCACTGCAGTTTATTTATACAGTGCATTCTTTAGTATTCCAATTGATAAGGCTAGCCAATACATTTTTGCTTTCACTTGGGAAGAAAAGCAATACACCTTGACAGTAATGCCCCAGGTTACACAGGGAGTCCTTCTTCATTTTCACAAGTCTTGAAAGCTGATTTGGATGATATACACTTTTCTGCAGGCTGCACTTTGTTACAGTATGTCAATGATTTGCTTCTCTGCTCTCCTCAAAACCCTTTGTGGGAAGACAGCATCCCCCTGTTAAAACTTTTGGCCTTCAAGGGACACACACTCTCCATAGAAAGTTTGCAGTTTGCTCTAACTCGAGTTGGATATTCAGGACACCTGACAATAGCAACACTATATTTGGATCCAGGTAGATTTTGTGACATCCTAAACTCCCCAAAACCTAAAATTAAGTTCTAATTATAGGTTTTCTCGGACCAGCTACCTACTCTCAAAATTAATTCCAAATTTTTCTTTTATGGCCCAACCCCTATATACTTTACTAAAAATCCAGTCTTGCCAGAAATTCTAAAATTCCCACTCCCTAGCACTGTACATGCATTAAACAATGTCTATTTGTTGATAAAATGATAGCATTCATGAACAAATATTGGTAGGGAAATATTAATAAGGTCACAAAAAGTACCTACACCTCACTTGACTTACCTGTGCAAAAGACAGTCCAGGAAAGCCTATATGCACTCTTCCCACACAATTTGAATTGTCTAATGGGCCGTTCACATTTTGGCAAATGGATTTCATACAGCTTCTTCTGTCTCATAGATAAAAATGTTTTATTCACAGTTTGTATGTTTTCTCACTGGACCAAAACTTTCCTCTATAGAGAAGTTACTTCTTCCTCTGTAGCTAAGATTCTGTTTGAGATCATCCCTACCTGGGAACCCCTCTTCAACTGCAGTGTGATCAGGGAACCCATTTTACCAGTCTGGTACTTCAGTAAGTCTGTGCTGTTTGTCTGGTTTTACACCACTTTCACTGTGCTGTCTTACCATCCTGAATCCTCAGTGTAAATCAAACAAACAAAGGGCACTATTAAGACTCAATGGCAAAATTTGTAGAAACTCTCCAAATACCTTAGCCAAAAATTGCCATTGGTCCTTCTAAATCTCAGATCCACTGCCTTTGGAACTCAAACTCCACCCTTTGAGAGAGTCACAGGATATCCAATGCACCTGGCCCCTGCCACTTTTGATCCGCAGCTGATAAAAGGCGGTACACTTCAATATTGTAAAAGCCTATTTGTTTCCAGGAAAAACAACCATGCTTTGGTAGAGCAGTCTTTTCTCAGTGAGCTCGCAGGGTATGAAGACTTTAAGCATCATACCTTACAACCTGGAGATTTTATCTATTGGAAAAGACACCTCCAGAAAGACGCTTTTAACCTCACTGGAAAGGCCGCTTTTAGGTACTGCTAACCTATCCTTGTGCTGCCAGACTCCAGGGAATACTCTTCATTTCATGTGACATATCTAAAAGAGCACCAAATCCTGACTGGACCTCGTACCATATGAAGACCTAAAGTAAAAATTTCCTGAAATTAAATCAGACAACATCTGACCAGACAAGCTTTGCCAAGATGTCCAGCCTAGGACTGTTAGACAGTTCAGGATTCACAGAAGTCTCTTTTCATCTGAATCATTAACTGACTCCGGATTCTTATCCAAATTCAGGGTCTCTGGACTTGCAACCTTACAGGCTGTATTACTGATAACACATTTGGTTCCTAAAGTTTGTTTGAGATAACAGTACTATTTTAAAACATCTTTGAAGTTTCTCTATCTTCACAAAGGGCTCCTCAGCTATTGCTTTCTGTCTGTGCCCCAAATGTACTCAGTTAATTCTTTCAAACTGAGTGTGCTCTTGCTGTATTCACCATCCTAGTTTGCTTTCATGGCTGCTTAAATGGGGACTTCCAGGAGGCATACATGACTCTAGGTTTGCCTCCATAGGGAGAACTTTTCTCCCTGCAATCAGAGTAAGTACCAATAAGTATTTGTTCAGTTGGCAACCTTCAGGCCTACCGTCCTGGTTTAAAACCATGATACAATTTGGAATTGTTATGTTACTTTTGATTCTATATTTGTAGCCTGTCAAACCTATGTTAAAAACAGTGTACCTAATGAGGAGATGATCTCCACTGTTTAGGATCCTGATAAATATTGACTCAAGATGAAAAGTACCTGAAAGTTCTCCCATCTCCCCCTCCTTGTTACTCAAATGTGACTTCAATAGGTTTCTAGTCTCTACAGTTTCCCTCCAACGAAGGACATGACAGCCAGGAAAGCTCCTTCCTGGCACCAACAGACAAAAGACTACTGACTCTTCAGCAATCTGTTTGGAGAAAGGTCTTGATTGAAAGGGGAAAACTGTGAAAATTAATAAAAGGAAACCTCACTGAAACGGAGTCAGGACGCCAGAATGGGGAGCTCTCAGGAGTACCACTCCTTATCAGTTACAGGAAGAATTGTCAATTACAGATCACAACAGAAAAATCAACAGGACAGAATCATCAGTTGCAAGCCCCAATGGGAAAAATTGTACAGTGCATCCCCTCTAAGAAATTGACTACTCCAGCAACTCAGCAATGAGAAACCACCATCACCTCAAATTCTCACTTTTCTCCAATGTACTTTTGTTCAAAACAACCCCTCCCAACCTCCTCCTTTTTCTCTGTAAAATATCTTTCCTCTCTTTGGTTTGTTGGATGTGCATATTGTTTTTGCTGTGGCTTGCTTGTCCTAAATTGCAGTTCTCTGCTATTCCCAAATTAACCCATTTTGGCTAGTCAAATAGCTGACTTATTTTTAAGGTCAACAAATGCAAAATGATACAGCCACTTTGGAAAACAGCTGAGCAGTGTTTTGTAAAGTTAAACATATACTTAAGATATGACCCAGCACTCTCACTCCTGGGTTTTTACCCAAGAAAAATGAAAACTTGTGTTCACACAAAAACTTGGATGCATGTGTTTGCAGTGACGTTATTCATAATCTCCAAAGATGTGAAACCCAAATATTCTTCAGCTGGCAAATGAATAAACAAACTGTGGTACATCCATATGATGGGAAACTTCTAAGAGACAAGAAGAAGAAACTACTAATATAGGTAGCAACACACATAAATCTCAAATGCATTATGCTAGACTCAAAAAGCTACCTACTGTATGATCCTAGTTATTGGATATTTTCACCATTTATATAAAAAGTTTGTATTTGGTGTGCAAAATTTAAAGAATAATAATAAAGCAAACACTTTATACCCAACACTTCAAGAAATAACTCAGTACTTACCATCAAAGCCCCCTAAGTACCTGTGCCCTTTCCCTCACTTTCCACTACCATAGATTTTGTCTCTTGATTTTCTTATAATATTATACTTACATATGTATCTTAAATGGCATTTTGTTTATTTGCTTATTTTTTGAGTTTTATCTAAATGTAATAATACTGAATGTGTTCCTTGGGGACTTATTTCACTGAACACTATTTTTGAGATTCATCCATGTTGATTCTTGTAACTGCAGTTTAATCCCTTTTCCTGCTGTAAATGTACCTCAATTTATTCATTAGTTCTATACGTGACAGACATTTGGTCTGTTTTTGCTCTTAGAAACATTAATACCTCTTGGTGCACATGTACCAGGAGCAGAATGACACAGTCAACTTTCTAAAAGCAAATTGCTTCCAGAGCAGATGAATAACTATATTCCTTTTATGTGAGTTCCTTTCCCTCCACATATTTGTTAACAATTGGTAATGTTAGATTTCTAGGTTTTGGTAAATATTGAGGGTGTGAAATGTAGTGTATAGGTTTGGTTTGCGATTCCAATTCCTAATTAGGATAATATATTTTAATTTTTTCATTGGCCAGTTGCTTTGTATATAATGATAAAATTAACCAGTAATTTCAGGTGATTTCCAGTGGATAGAAAGAGGCCTTCCTCCTTCATGCTAATTTTCTTACATCTTAGTATACTGTGGGAGTTAAAACTGTTGACTGAAATAAAATCACACAGCATGAGAGTTGCGAGTTAGGTTTCATTTGGGGAAAAATGAGGACTATAGCCTGGGAGACAGCATTTTAGATAGCTCTGCATAACTGCTCCAAACAGGTAGGGGGAACATCATTATTATATATGATTTCAGTCAGCAGGGGAAGGTGCAGTCCAGCCCACATTTAGGCAGAGGCTTGCTGCTAATCATAAGGAGCAGATGTAACCGTTAATAATTTTAGTGTTTTTCTAGATATGGGAGACACGAGAATTTATAAAATCTTCTCCTGAAAAAAATCTATCTGAAGGCCTGTTCTGCCAGTTTTGCCCAGAGCAGAGTGCCTCATTCCTGATCTCGATCCTGAACAACTGTCAGGGTGTGTTGAACAGCTGCAGCAGCTCATGATTTAATCCTTGTAGAGAGAGGTGGCAAATGCAAATTTTTAGTTGGCAGAAACAAAGTTGCAAAATTGCGAAACTTGAAAGAAAACGTTAGACTGGATACCTCAAACTATTTTTTTTTTTTAATATAACTGTCTTTCCCCTTTCCTTGTGATGTCCTTTATCTGACCGCTCAGTTTTGGAGCCACAGAGCCACCTCCCCAGCCTGCCTCACAGTCCATTCTCTTCTTCCCAAAAATTTCAGGCCCCCCTGGCTTCCGGAATGTTGGGAGCTACCTACATCCTTTCTTTTGTCTCTCAGAGACAAGAGGAAGGCAGTCAG